CTATCTGGCTCTGCAGACTGAAAATTGTACATAGTCACAATAAGGTGAATTTATTTTTTTGAGTCTTAGAATTAACCTACAGAAAAAATAAAGGGCTCTTCATTTTGGTTATGGGACTTCATGACTGTGTTTTCAATCTTGATCATTTAAAAGTGATGTTATAGCTTATGGATGTTGGAGAATGGAGGGAGGGATGGAGAGAAAGGAGAGGAAAGGATGGGATTACCAAAAGGCTCACCCTTGATGGTAGGGAGTCACTTATCTGCCAATGCTGATGTAAGAGGAAAGAGAAGCTTAAATATATTTTTTAAATAACAATCATAACCATAGGAAAAAATACAAATAATGAATATAAAAAATAAGGACTGAGGGAGCTGTTGTATTCTATGTGAGGTGAATACACAGCCTTCAGGGAAGAGAGACATCTTAACGGTCACTTACCAACTTTTCCCTTGTTTATATTAGCAGGTCAATATAAATGCTTCATGACTGATAAGTTATGAAATTTGCTATAATCATATTATCTGGAAAAAAAAGAGGAGAGTTAAAAGCTGTAACCTCAGTGATTAGGAATGAGGATCAGAAGGAAAGGCTTGTTTCTTTCTGTTAAACAACTTTTGAACTATTTGGTTTTTTTTTTTTACATAAGCATCTAGTATTTTGATTAAACTTAAAAAAAATTAAAGATCTTTCTAGCAAACAAGAAAACTTGATTCATGAGTCACATTGTCTCCTGGGAAATTGTGACTCACCTCAAGATAACAGACTTACTTGCTTCAGACCAAATGAAAGAATCTTAAATTTTGCACATGACTTGAATTTCTGTAAATTAATAAAAATGCAGAGTGACACTTGTGCTTTACTTTTATCTTCTGTCTCACTGTATGTATGAATCACATGCTTTTATGAAACCTACTCATCAAAGGTCCAAGGTACCATGCAGTCAGCTTATCAAATAACTCTCAGTTTGATCTCCCTCATAAATCACATCCAGAATCCCATCACTTAAGAGAAATTCATTTTCCTGCTCTTGTTCTTTTTACATGTAAGCTGCTGACCTTCAGAGAACATATGACTTCATCTCATTCAGAGGCTCCCCAATCTGCCTTTTAATTTCCCTCTTTCTGCTCCCTGCAATTACCCGCTTCTCTCCACTCTCACCTGCTGCAGTCATCAGCAGGTCCCTCTCAGGTTCTCTGTCCTTCTTCCACTTCTTCAGGGTGGGTCGGGTTAACACCTTTCAAAAACACACTGATGGCAAAGGAGACTCAGCTAGGAACTCAAATAAAAGTTTACTCCTTGCTGGTAGCTGAGTTAAGGGAAAAGAAGATATGCGGTCTAGAGAACCAATATTTATTGATACCAGGCTGGGTGTTTCGTGTGAATGATCCACTAAATTCCCACAAGCAGCTCATGACACAGATATTACTTCCTGTAATACAGACAAAGAAATTGAACTTCACAGAAGTTAGGCAGCTGCTCTGGTCACACTGCTATTATGGGACAGTGCTAGATTTGAACTTAGGTCTATCTGACTTCTTGTGTCCTTTTAAAATATAAATCACAGTGTAATTACATTGTGGCTAGCTGTCTACATAAGGCGACTTACACTGAATAACAAAATGTGGTTAAATATAGCTGTATTCTAACCAGCTAGCTTGGCAATCAAGAATTTGGAGCTGGTGCCATATGCTGGCATCAGGAAATAATAAACATGATTTAGCATCTAGGGATATAGACTTTGATCTTGGTCCTGTGACCAATTAGCTCTCTGGATTTGAATTTTCTCAGTTATAAAATGAAATGTTTCACTGACTGACTATCAAGCTCACTTCTAACCCTGAAGAATCTATATAATTGAAAGAAATAAAGCTCATTAAAGTTATTGTCTAATTCAGATAGCTTGCAAATCACTGAGGTGAATGAGGTGGAAAAGTGGATTTAAGGTTAAACAGTAAGACAATAATTGAACTAAAAATAAAATCCTCATATTCTAACACTTAACTTGTTACTGTCCAGCATAGAATGGATTTAATGTTATGTAGTGTATTAGTCTTCTTGGGCTACTGTAACAATGTACCTGAGAATGAGTGGCTTAAGCAACAAAAATGCATCTCCCACAGTTCTGGAGGCTGGAAGTCCAAGGTCAAGGAGCCAGCAAAGTAAATTCCATTCTGAGGTCTCATAGCTTGTAGGTGACCATCATCTTGCTTTGTACTCACATGACATCTTTGTGTACATGCAGAGAGAATGAAAAAGAGAGTTATCTGGTGTCTTTTCTTAAAATGACACTAATCTTAATCATATAGGATCAAGGATCCCACCGTTATGATGTCACTTAACCTTAATTACTTCAGTAGAGGTTCAGTCTCCAAAGACTAGAAGGTTAAGCTTTCAACATAAGAATCATGGGGGGACACAAACATTCTGTCCATACATGTAGTATTAGAAGATAGTGGCTTGAGCTCATTAGACTTAAACTGCCAAATTGTTTCCCCTAAGAGGAGTGAAGAAGTACCCTGGTAAAACCATTGTCAGAAATAATGTAGAGCAGTGCTTTCTCAAACTTCCACATGCACACAAATCACCTGGAGAAATTGTTTAAGCATATAGTTTAGCCTATAAGGTGAATTTATTTTTTTGAGTCTTAGAATTAACCTACAGAAAAAATAAAGGGCTCTTCATTTTGGTTATGGGACTTCATGACTGTGTTTTCAATCTTGATCATTTGAAAGTGATGTTATAGCTTATGGATGTTGGAGAATGGAGGGAGGGATGGAGAGAAAGGAGAGGAAAGGATGGGATTACCAAAAGGCTCACCCTTGATGGTAGGGAGTCACTTATCTGCCAATGCTGATGTAAGAGGAAAGAGAAGCTTAAATATATTTTTTAAATAACAATCATAACCATAGGAAAAAATACAAATAATGAATATAAAAAATAAGGACTGAGGGAGCTGTTGTATTCTATGTGAGGTGAATACACAGCCTTCAGGGAAGAGAGACATCTTAACGGTCACTTACCAACTTTTCCCTTGTTTATATTAGCAGGTCAATATAAATGCTTCATGACTGATAAGTTATGAAATTTGCTATAATCATATTATCTGGAAAAAAAAGAGGAGAGTTAAAAGCTGTAACCTCAGTGATTAGGAATGAGGATCAGAAGGAAAGGCTTGTTTGTTTCTGTTAAACAACTTTTGAACTATTTGGTTTTTTTTTTTTACATAAGCATCTAGTATTTTGATTAAACTTAAAAAAAATAAAAGATCTTTCTAGCAAACAAGAAAACTTGATTCATGAGTCACATTGTCTCCTGGGAAATTGTGACTCACCTCAAGATAACAGACTTACTTGCTTCAGACCAAATGTAAGAATCTTAAATTTTGCACATGACTTGAATTTCTGTAAATTAATAAAAATGCAGAGTGACACTTGTGCTTTACTTTTATCTTCTGTCTCACTGTATGTATGAATCACATGCTTTTATGAAACCTACTCATCAAAGGTCCAAGGTACCATGCAGTCAGCTTATCAAATAACTCTCAGTTTGATCTCCCTCATAAATCACATCCAGAATCCCATCACTTAAGAGAAATTCATTTTCCTGCTCTTGTTCTTTTTACATGTAAGCTGCTGACCTTCAGAGAGCATATGACTTCATCTCATTCAGAGGCTCCCCAATCTGCCTTTTAATTTCCCTCTTTCTGCTCCCTGCAATTACCCGCTTCTCTCCACTCTCACCTGCTGCAGTCATCAGCAGGTCCCTCTCAGGTTCTCTGTCCTTCTTCCACTTCTTCAGGGTGGGTCGGGTTAACACCTTTCAAAAACACACTGATGGCAAAGGAGACTCAGCTAGGAACTCAAATAAAAGTTTACTCCTTGCTGGTAGCTGAGTTAAGGGAAAAGAAGATATGCGGTCTAGAGAACCAATATTTATTGATGCCAGGCTGGGTGTTTCGTGTGAATGATCCACTAAATTCCCACAAGCAGCTCATGACACAGATATTACTTCCTGTAATACAGACAAAGAAATTGAACTTCACAGAAGTTAGGCAGCTGCTCTGGTCACACTGCTATTATGGGACAGTGCTAGATTTGAACTTAGGTCTATCTGACTTCTTGTGTCCTTTTAAAATATAAATCACAGTGTAATTACATTGTGGCTAGCTGTCTACATAAGGCGACTTACACTGAATAACAAAATGTGGTTAAATATAGCTGTATTCTAACCAGCTAGCTTGGCAATCAAGAATTTGGAGCTGGTGCCATATGCTGGCATCAGGAAATAATAAACATGATTTAGCATCTAGGGATATAGACTTTGATCTTGGTCCTGTGACCAATTAGCTCTCTGGATTTGAATTTTCTCAGTTATAAAATGAAATGTTTCACTGACTGACTATCAAGCTCACTTCTAACCCTGAAGAATCTATATAATTGAAAGAAATAAAGCTCATTAAAGTTATTGTCTAATTCAGATAGCTTGCAAATCACTGAGGTGAATGAGGTGGAAAAGTGGATTTAAGGTTAAACAGTAAGACAATAATTGAACTAAAAATAAAATCCTCATATTCTAACACTTAACTTGTTACTGTCCAGCATAGAATGGATTTAATGTTATGTAGTGTATTAGTCTTCTTGGGCTACTGTAACAATGTACCTGAGAATGAGTGGCTTAAGCAACAAAAATGCATCTCCCACAGTTCTGGAGGCTGGAAGTCCAAGGTCAAGGAGCCAGCAAAGTAAATTCCATTCTGAGGTCTCATAGCTTGTAGGTGACCATCATCTTGCTTTGTACTCACATGACATCTTTGTGTACATGCAGAGAGAATGAAAAAGAGAGTTATCTGGTGTCTTTTCTTAAAATGACACTAATCTTAATCATATAGGATCAAGGATCCCACCGTTATGATGTCACTTAACCTTAATTACTTCAGTAGAGGTTCAGTCTCCAAAGACTAGAAGGTTAAGCTTTCAACATAAGAATCATGGGGAGACACAAACATTCTGTCCATACATGTAGTATTAGAAGATAGTGGCTTGAGCTCATTAGACTTAAACTGCCAAATTGTTTCCCCTAAGAGGAGTGAAGAAGTACCCTGGTAAAACCATTGTCAGAAATAATGTAGAGCAGTGCTTTCTCAAACTTCCACATGCACACAAATCACCTGGAGAAATTGTTTAAGCATATAGTTTAGCCGTAAAATTGGCTTTCAAATATCTTGTGGCCAGACCAAAGAAGAAAACACGCTGGTTATGTGCCTCTCACTGTCCACAGGAAATTTGATGTAAATCCCTCAGGGGAACTAAATTTTTGCCATGAACTAATTCTAAAATAAGTTTATCATCTCTATGACAATGAGAAATAAGTGGAAGATGCTCTGAGCAAAATCCTGACAGCAAGTAATAAAGCTATTTCTAACAGTATCTCTCAACAAAAGTTGAGGCTAAAATGTCAAAACCAACTCAATAAAATCATTATTCTGGGATTATGGATCATAGACTACTTCAAAATAAATAAAATGTTGTTTCTTCTAAATGTATAGAGTAATCAGAATTGGGTCAACAAAGCATTGTCTAACAAAAAGCTTTAGGGGACCTGCCTTAATAAATAGGTAAGACATTTGCGATAAGCATGACTTTTAATTTTTTTAAAAGAAGGGGTAAGCCTGCAAAGCTTGAAGAGTTGTTTGTCTTTTAAGTAGTTTAATCATTCTCCTGGGGCTTGTGTTTATACAATTTGCTTAGAAACACTTTTTTGCTTTTGTAGGTCAATAGGCTTTATCTAGAAATAGGGCTATTAATGAGAGGAAACAGGCTGTATCAGATTTGTAAATGACATGTTCCATATCTTTTACATCTAGTTTATGTAACTGGCCTCTGATGCCTGCCTTTATGGTGTAGCTGAAGGTCTTGTTAATAAAATATCCATGAGAAGTTCTTTCTAAGATAAATGAGATGACAGATTTCATTGAATGGGGCATAGTTCTCTGGTCCCACAGTGCTTCTTTATAATATTGCCTAAAATGTTCCCAGACAAGTGTATGGGAACTAGCTTAGACATTGTATATCTCACCTCATTTCCAAGCCAATAGAGATGTGCAGAAATGAGAGAAAAATAAAATAAAACAATAACAAAATTTCATTGTGTTTGATTTATGGATTTGCTCTACACTGAGAGTTTCAGAGGAGTTCTTTTTTATAAGAACCATAAATGAATAGAAAATAATGAACTATAGGAAAGGATCCAAAGATACTGAGACTAGATCTCCACTGAACTGAAACTGGTACCACTTGTATGAAATGACCTGTTTTCACATTCCTTACCTCCTAAGAGCTAGGATGGAGAGCTGTAAGCACCAGCTTACAGCTGGCAGGAATGAGAATGCCTTTAAGCTTAGTAAGTATGTTATTGGGCTATGTTGCCTATTTTCAGTGAAGGGATTGGGGTTTATGGTATTATCACCTTCCCAGGAGATATTTGCATTTCCTAGACTTCTTCCAAGTGACTAAATTTAAATATAGTCATTGGAATCAAAAGTTAACATATTATGTTTGCCTCCCCTTTAGGTAGATTGGCCACAAAGATTTGTGGTGGGTTATAAAAACATACACAAAAATCACATTGTCTGTTTTTACATCACAGCAGTCTCATTAGGTTACATCAATGGAAATCCAGGTCAGGCTCAGTTTATATATCAATCAGCCTTAGTTTCACCAGGCACTCCATAGACAAGTGTATATTTTAGATCTCTGCTATCATATCTACTTGGCCAGACATCTTTCATCCATCCATTTATTGAAAAAAGCTTAAACTTTGTACTGGGTGAAATATAAAACTAAACCCCATCTTACTTGTTTGAATCCTTTAGAGTATTTCTATTGAAAAGAGTGCAGAAATAGTTCTGGCTTTTAGGGATCTAGTAGGCAATTCCAGTAACCTTTTTTTTTGTATCCATGGGGATTTTACAGACTTGAATCATGTTTCCTTTTGCTTTTCCATCTAATTTTAATGTTCTTTATGTTCTTCCCTGGAAGCTCTTTGCACCACCTGATACTTAAGTGGCAGAAAATCATGCCAGAACCAGAATTTCATGCAAGAATTTCAGGGAACCAGAGAAATCCAGGATCAAAGAAACTCAGATCCTCTAATGTTTCCTTAAGCCATCTTTCCTAATCTTTACCTTTTGTTAGCTTCTCATTTCTATATCCAAGCCACAGGGGC